GAAGTCCAAAAATATTTTTCACGCACGATTACCATGTGTTCAGATTCACCTGACTGCTGCGTTTGAACCCTGGTACTATTAGGTCATTCGGAAAGTTTTTTCGTTTTGGCACCTTCAAATTCAAACGGACACAATTTTTTAAAAACCGTTCTAAACCTTTCTCCATCAAATAAATTGCATTGTGTTCGGCAAATTTCTGGCAACACTCATGTAGCCCTCTTGTACTTTTTTCTTGCAAAATAATCTCAGAGGAATCGATAAAGCCTAAAAACGCGTTTTTGACCAGCAAAACTTTATAAGGTCCTATTATTTTTGATAAGCACCGAGGAATTAGAAAATTTGGTGATTGGTAAAGAACGGTTCAAAGAATTTGAAAAATAAACAGGAACCTCGGTGCGCAGTCAACCTCTTTTGTGAGAGCCACTTTTCCTACAGGTAATTTGGCGGAGCCATGGGCGTGGATGGCACTCATAACTTATACGTGCAACTCCGCTCAGTTATGAAATTTTGATAAACGGTTTTCAGAGCGATATCACGCTACTCTGCTCTTACAATACAACCGCATCTTGGTAAGTTTATAACGTACAAGACCAGCAAGACTACATTAGTTTGTGTACATTAACCTTGTGGATTGACTGATTGTCTTGGCCATGCTTTCAATGCTTATTTCAAATGATTTATCACAATGTCGCTTCTTGTTGCCACACTTAGCCAATTTTTTGCCATAATTAATAACCCAGACCAAAACAAGGATTTTCCATCAAATTATGAGCAACGAAAGCAGAGTCAACGCGCCCTCAATCTGCGAATGCGACAATTCGTGGGGTGCATGTCACTGAAATTTTTCGGTATTGCAGCTTTAGCGAAGGTGGCTTCCAATGAAAGTAACATGACTATGACTGGAATACTCCAAGGTTTGCTGATAATTCTACGCAGCTATACAGGGTATCCCAAAAAAATGTTTCGAACGTTTGATCGCTAATATCTCTCTTCCCAAGAAGTCTTTTGCCTTGCTTCAGGGACCGTTTTGTAGAGCTGGCTTCAACTTAGATTTGCATTATAGAACGAATCACCCATCTCTCTTCATTACTGTAGGATTACGGTAGAAACTTGAAAGAGGGTTTTAAGCAATGAAAGGCCATATTTTGCCTCAAAGCTTCTACACTAGGCTAATCAGAGTTGCTGATTATAACTGTAAAGTTTCCGACTTATTATGATGCTTCATTGAAGAGTTATGCCAGGTAAGAGGTAGCCGCCAATTTTTCAATGTTCCTAAAAAGTGCGATTACACCGTTTAGAAATCTTCGTAAACTTGTGAATAGTTGAGTATTGAACTCAGCGTCCATAAAAACCCTATTACACAAGTTTTCACAATTATTTAAAAAATTCTGAAACGGCAGCTTTTTTTCACATTGACACCACATGTTTCAAGTTTCTACCGTAATACTACAGTAATGAAGAGAGTTGGGTGATTCGTTCTCTAATGCAAATCTAAGTTGAAGCCAGCTCTACAAAACGGTACCTGAAGCAAAGCAAAAGACTTCTTGGGAAGAGAGATATTAACGATCAAACGTTCGAAACATTTTTTGGGATACCCTGTATTTGCGATTTGCTCTAAAGAACCCTCTAAGATGCTCGTTTATATGGCAGAAACACCTTCCAGGACACTGCAAAATATTAGCTTTCACTTCTCTAGATGTGAACTTTTTGAAGTAAACCTTAACCTACCTCAAGGAAGACGTAATCTTGGCAAATGCATTGCGCACAATGGTGGTTTCCTTAGCGGTCTTAAACTCAAGCTTAAGCTTAGAGAATACAATTATTCAAAAATCGGGTTTTCGTACTTCGAATTTACCGCGTAAACTTCCCTACAAAGTCTTTTCTGCAACTTCGTTCGGATTTTTAAAAAATAGAAGAACTCCTCTACAGATCCATATATAGCAACCCCTATCAGCCCTCTGGTACCCTTCTAAAATATGGTACCAACATCAAAGGCGCAAAAAGCGAAAAATCTTTCCCAATGACCTAATACAAAGCTGTTGTTGTTTGGTGACAGTCCTTACCCCAGTGCAGAGCACTGATAGTCTGAGTGGTGGCCTTACGTTACTGAAAAATACTCCACAATATTTACATACCAGTGCGTCACCTCTGCTTCGCAGAGGCTCGCACTGGCCCTATTTTCTGTATGCCTTACTCATTCCCGCATAATAATGAGAAACTTACCGCGCTATGTAGGCTATCACGAATAATTCGTAAACAACTACTCATTCGTAGAGGTTCTCCATGTAAGATCGGTATTTTCGCATGGATAAAATCTCTCCCAGAAGAACAGATGCAAATTCGAATAGGTTTTTGGAATTTTTATGGCTAGGTAGTCGCCGTAAGGACAATAAACATAGTGGGCTACATCTCTGTGCAAAAATATTCTCAAATATTCAGATAAAACCTTGAAAAATTGACCGTTTTACAGCGAATGCTTTTTGGCGCTGTTTTCGTAAAGTAGTAGACTTTTCATTACTTTTTTAGGCTAACGTCCATGTCTTGCACATAAGCTTGTCAAATATATCCTTAACTCTGCAAAAAGTAGTACTACGGACCTAAATTTGCTGGCCAGAAGCCATGTGGATCCGTTTGATGCGCAATTTTCAATGGATCCACTCAACGGATCCGCTCATGTATTTGTTTAGTGAGCTTTCATGCTGGTAGCGTGCGCTATGCAAAGTTTGGGCTCAGGACATTGGCTGGAACACGCTCTACGAATTTCGTGACAGACAGAGATTCACACACAGACATACAGACAGACAAACGTAAACAACCCTTAGCCCGTTATTATAAGTTATGATGCTCAAAGTGACCTCGCATTCCAGCTGTTATATAAATCAGTACACATGCAGATGGCTTTGTTGCGTGCCGAAATACCTACCGAGCTAGGTTGAAAAATTGGCGTGAGGTCTATATTTTTTTCAGTGAGGTTGATATAAACCCTTGGATAGGATTACGTTCTAGCAGATCGCAAAAACTGGCTCCAAAATTCTGAATCTTCATCTGAAGGCGGGTCCCTGTTCACAGCGCATCCTATACCAAATTATGCTAAACTTTCTCTACAATATCTTAATAGAAGATTTGTGTTATAGTCAGTGATACTTGGAACAGTTTAGCGAATACTTAAAACAGCTTAGTGCTTGAGGAATGTGGTAGTGCTAACAAAATAAATGAAAATAGCTTCTCAGGAGAACTAGGAAAAGAGTTTTGAGTTTTATTGACAAGGAGCTGCTGGGACGCAACAGGATGGGAACAGAAAAGTGGTGATTGTGGACTATTGATCATTGAACGAAAGTGTTACGTAGACAAAATCCGATGTTATTTCCAATTTTTTCTTAATTCCTGCCGCAATCTGGATTTTCGAACAGGGTTTGAAACTAGTTGACTGAGCAAGAGAAGAGTGACTAGTCCCTCTTTGAGATTCTTGAGGTACGTCCAGACTATGATTCTCCTTGTTTGACGCACACATGGAGTCATTAATCCGTAATAAGTGTAAAATATTGAAGAAGTGTTCATGCACTATAAAACACTGATTTTGAGCTGCACATCATTGCTGGTGCCAAATGCTGCGGAGCATCATTGATGAACGTTTTCGCAGTTATAGGCGTTTCCCATGCGTATAGCGGGCGTGGCCCTGCAGAAATTTGAACACGTTGAAAAATGCTGAACCTCCACTCCAAAGCATTATTTTTTGTACTCTCTAACTGCCAAACAGTGTCACGCGCGTACGCTGCAAACGTCGGCAACTCTGCCCCCTATACTGTGGGGGAAAGGACGATATCATCCATGTAAATGGATGGAAGAGGACCGGTCTACATCAAACTTAGCTTCTTCTCATCGCGCCATCAAACTTAGCTTATTCTCGTCGCGCACGCCTACAAAACGGAATCAGAAACATGATTTTGTTTATATCTGAAATATTTTAGGAGGCGAGTCAGTAGGACAGTACTTTTTTCTCTCTCTGTAAAGGTTTTACTTGAACGAGAACGATGTGTTCTAGCATCTTCCAATTGAGCGCATAGTGAATTCTTTTTCTTAGAAAAGAAGCAGTTATTCTATCCTCGAGTCAATCTAACTATGCGTACTGCACTCTATGCGCGCTATTTGATGAGCTTGTAAAATTCGAGCTGCACACTTCCAGTGATTTCTCCTAGTTTTTGCTTCTTTCAATCAAATTGAATATGTATTAGTCAATAGTGCACACTTTAACAGTTTGTTACGCCACAAAAGTCTTTTTGACAATGGAAATTCGCTTGAGAAGTGGCGATTAGAAAGGTGATGTATGCTTATGGATAGAACTTTGAGCGCTGATGTCAGATTACCTTCCATATCTACGACGCTCTTTTCTAAAAAGTGGTATAAGTTCTTTCTGTACCAAATTCTCGTGCATTTTTGGTCGTAAAATCACGATAGTTTTCACCCAAAAGTATGCAGGCTCAGGCAAAGCACCTATTTGTCATCTGAACTGTTTAAATGTTGTCCATTCATGTTGTTATTCACAGTTTGTCATTTTCCTTCTAATCCCCATCCATTATAGATAGAAAAAGCCCATAACTTCCTATAGAAAAATGGTTTGATATAGATAGAGAATAGAAACTATATTTGAGATCTGCGCTTCAAGCTCTATCCGTAGGTATACATCACCTCTTACATCGCCACTTCGACTAAGCGAACTTTCCTTGTGAGAATTCAACGGTGAAGGTGCCGTCAGTCGTCGCGCGTTGTGCGCATGCTCACATGTTAAGTAACAAAGCTTTCCGAACGCCCTAACTCAAGTGCAAATACGGCTGTCTCTACAGCAAACATTTGAGCGCTATCTTGGATACTTTCAAGAAGAGAAAGAAGATGACAGGAAAATTTATGGAGCAAACACGTATAAGCGAGAAATACCATCTATATCATTTCCACGTCGGTAGACGAGGAGAACCAGAGTCGTTGAGCATTTCAGTTTGGATAACATGACCGAGAAGCAGCGAATTATTGATGCTATCATATGTGTCGTTTTAATGCTGCTGGGCTTCTTTCTCGGACAAAAAGTGGGAAGCTGGATTGGACACGAAAGGACGAGGCTTCCTGAAGACGATCTAATGACCGGAAGTGAGTTTTGCACGTGATCCCCACTTTGTTTTGCTTGGAAAACGAAGGAGTAGATCAAGTATAGTGAAAATGAAAATATGCAAAAACCAAAATGCTAAAAGCAACGTATATTATTACATGCTATTAGGTTAATAAATATTTGCATGCAACTTCAGAGCTTTATAACAAGTAAGACTAGTTATTTGGCTAACATTTTTTGTGAGGAGACAGCTACAAACCTTTACTCTGACACACCAAGTTTTCGAGAATCTCAGTGATCAGTGAATGAAACTGTGCCTTTATTTGCTAACTTTTAACAACAAGAAATTCACTATTCTTAAAGTTTCTTTTCTGAATTGCTGCGATGAGAATTTCTGCAGCCAAAACTTTGAAAATATCCAGCCATTTGCTCTTAAAAGTCGGTTTTTAGGCAATCAGTTCCTTCGAATTTGAGCATCTATAACTATGATGATTGAAAATTTGAATATCTGTGCGTGGGTAACAAATCTGCACTCCACAACCAGCTTCAGCTTGTTTTTAGGAAGCTTGTTTTTTTCAAGAATTTGACAAAAAATTCTGCTCTTTGCTGCAACCGTTATGAGAACAATTCCTTCAGTTAAGGAGAACTTGCCATGTGATTTTTATGATTTATATAAATCAATTTGTAATACATCTAAACGGTTTAAAACAAGCGAACTTATTTTTAGCCATCCTAATGATAAAGTCGGCTCTACATTAAATCTCGCTAGACATTTTCAGAAATCATTCTCGTTTACTTCTTTTTCATGTACCCAGAACTGTTCAAAGATCTTTTCAAAGATCTTTGAACAGTTCTGGGTACATGAAAAAGAAGTAGCTGGTAAGCTTAACTTTTTTGAAAAAATTTTTTTACCATGCATAACGCGGCCATCCCGCTTCTCATTGAGTTTCTAGATTGATAGTTTGCAAGAAGTTTGGGAAATTGCTGATACGTTACTGCTAAACCTTTCTTTCCTAAAACGTTCGTAGCACTAAACGCCTCCTTTTTCAGCTATAGTAAACTTTCAATGTCTAATATGGTGCATCCCTAGAATTGTTCCCATAGCTAGCAACAACGTGGCTGCCTTTTGCACTGTCATTGACCACAGGTGCCATTCTGTTCGCGCAGTGCTTTAAAGGCAGTGGATCGGCAAAACTAAACAACTCAAGATTTCGACGCGGTAGGTTGCTTATCACCCATTTATGAAAACAGTGCAATCCCGGTCGCACAGCACAGCATGCCTTCCCTGCCGCAAAAATTGCTCTCAAACTCAAACAATCTTACACGCGCTCGGATGGAGAAGGGCATTGGAAAACGCTCGTTTTCACCGTTTTCAAGCTCTTTAAAGTGGATTTTCGGGATCAGCGCATTTAATTAGGTAAGCAAAAATTTGACTAGGTTAGGGAGCTTCCAGACCGCGCCGTGACCGCGCCGGTTGTCACTTTTGCAGCCGGTAGCTGCTTTCGCGCCAATTGCCGCTATTGCAGCTGAAGCTTACCGTGTCAGATTTTATCCTTGGAGCGTAGCGAGAGCCTATTGGCACTAGATGCTAGGCGTTCGACTCCTTTATCATCACTCTTTTGTTTCCAAAGTTCTTTTTTTTGCTGCAGTAATTCATTGCAGATATGGTTCAATTAATCTGGATTCCGTTTTTTGGTCGTTTACGATGCTGGAAAACTCGATTCATTGTCGAATGAAATCCTTTCAGTCTAAATCCCGCTGTAGAGCTATTGCAAGGCAAGGCCTTTTCGATGTTTTTCTCGTTTTGAAACTGGTTCACTATGCTGGATGAGCAAATTGCGAATGTACTTTCCTTGTTTTTGAGGCTGTTCCATCATGCCGTAGGAGCGATTTAGCTGCAGAGCTCAAATTCTCTGTACTATTTTTGCTTTTGGTACTTCACTACGCTGACTAACGATCTATTCCAAAGCGGAGTCATTTGGTGCCTTCTCCTTCTCCATTCAAGGTATATGCCGTTTACTTCAGCATAGTAAAGCTAACCTTGAGTAGTTAAACGAAACTTAGATCAGTAAGTGTACCTTCAAGCAGTATAGTAAAGTACCTTCAAAATTAGAAAGTGCAAAAAACAGCGTTTTGCGACGATATCGTCCACTCAGCATAGTAGACCAACCTTAAGTCGGAAAAGACATCGAAAAACTTGCCTGCGCAACCACACAGCAGAGTATTATCATCAAGACGAAACCTGTGCAAAAAAAAACAGCGTTTCGCAAAAATTTATGAGCTCCCAGATTTGTGTGGAGGCGAGTTGCGGGCTTTTCCTGATTTTAATGATAAAGTTAACGAGAGAGTATAAACAATGCCGCATGAAACTCCAACAGTTCACACTTACATTCTGGGAAGGTCTGCAACCCGATGACTCCTTAATAGAAGTAGCATAGCTTCAAAAACAAGGACAAATTTAAGGAAACTTTGTTTTTTACGGAATCGACCAACTACTCAGATAATCGCCGGGGGCAGGCGGTCCGCAAACTCGCGCTTTTCTGCAGGCGGTCAGCAGAAGTTTGGGGCGTGGCCAAACCTTCAGCGGGCGGCACTTCCTTTACGGTCGCATATTCTGCCAGCGGGCAGCAATACAGCATTTTTTGCAAGCGCTCGGCAAAAAATTTCTTTCAGCGAGCGCTGGCCAAACTTTTAGCAAGCGCTCGGACTCTTTTTAGGCATTTTCGGGCGTACGTCGAGCGCAGGTAAGACTCTGTGTGGCAGAGGTGTCACCGTTGGTTTAATTACTCAAGTTTGAGGTACTTTCTCTCAGCGGAAAATACCTGGGGGTTGCGCGGACCTCCACAAAGGACCGTGCGACCCTCGAAATTTTTGCATATTCTCGCGGAAAGTCCGCGAGAATGCGGCCACTGCGCCGCAGCTAATCCATAAAGAAACCGCGATTGTTCTTCAAGCATTCGTCTTTAATTTCGCCAATTTTCTTCCAAATTTCAGCAAGCGGGCCGCAAAAAATCAACGAACTATTTTTCCGGTGCGCGCTTGCTCAAAATTCGCATGGCCGCCTGCCCCCGGGGGTTATCTGAGTACCGCGAAAGAATAGCCTGGAAACGAATGAAAGACAAAACGCCGTTCATCACTTTTTTGCTCAAAAAACAGCTCTACAGCGGGAAGTAGATTGAATATTCGACAGTGAGTTGATTGCTCCAGCATCGTAGAACCTGAAGTGAATTACTTACGGAAAGGAGAGGACCTTAAAAGCAAAAGATTGGTGGCAAAAGAGTTGAAAAGCCTAGTATTTAATGCCAAAAGGCTCTCGCGACGCTCCAAGGACAAAATCCGACACGGTGCGCTTCAGCTGCGGCAACCGCCGCGAAAGCAGCTACTGGCTGCAAAAGCGACAACCAGCGCGGTCTGGAGGCTCCCTTAGGATTTGCCGAGCCACAGCCTTTAATTCCACAATTTTTTTATAATAGTCTAACCAAGTTTTGCAACTGAATCCGTAATTTTTTGCTTTTTGATATTGGTGCGCGCAAAATTTGATACAGTATCCACACTAATTATTCGACAGAAAACGCAAAAACTGACGATCTGCGTTTTTTTCGTTTTTTCTTCAAAACTTCCTTCAGATTGCAGAGAATATTAATCCGAAGAAAGCTTGATGTTCACCTCATCAAGATGAATTTTATGATATACTACACTCTTTTACTATTGCGCTTTCAGTCTGCTCGATTTTTGTGTGAGGCAGGGCTCGGCTTGAGTTAGCTTTTAATTTTTCAGAAACGAAGTCCCTGTAAACTTCGCTACAAATATACAATACCGCTCTCAGAATGTGCAAAATTTCCGTGAATTCCGCGAAATTCCGAGAATTCCGCGAACTTCCGCGACATTCCGGGAATTCCGCGACATTCCGGGAATTCCGCGAAATTCCGGAAATTTCGCGAAATTCATGTGAATCACGCAAATTACGCAGGGCCATAACTTCGTTCCGGATGAGTATATTCAAAATCCGAAAACAGCATTGTATTCAGCTCATCAAAGCGAATCTTTTGGTATACAGGCTGTCTCCAGTATCCTCTTTTTAACAATCTTGAATCTGCATGCGGACGCCTTTTCGCGTGGGTGTAACGCAACAAGCATCACACATAGGAGATTGCGGCGCGCACCCTTCGATAGTACTCTTTCAGTAGATTATTCTGCGCTAAACGGCAGCCGAAGACTCTCTTTTAAAAGAAATAGAAGAGCTGATAAACTCTGGAAAAATCAAGCTGTTCCAAGTTCTACTAGCCGTAACTTCCTTCAGAATGAACATCTTCGAAATCCGAAAACAGTATTGTGTTCAGCTTGTTAAGGCGAATCTTTCGGTATACAGCATGTCCTTGAAATTCCGTTTCCAATTTTTTCAAAATTTTCTGCGCTCGTATATTCATAAGGTCGCAACGCAGCGCACATCAAACATAAAAGACTCCAATAAGCACTATTGGATTGTGCTGCTCCCGCAGATTACCGAGCGCTAAAAATGAACTGGAGAATTTCTTTCGAAAAAGATAGAAGAGCTGGTGAATTCTGGAAAAATCGTGTTGTGTCAAATTTTGCCTACTGTAACCCTAAAATGGGAAGCTCTCCTGCTAAGCAGATGTGCTTTTCGTAATCAGCAGGTCAGATAACCTCTTTGAGCGAAGTTTCCTTATAATCCAAGATCATCGACATTTTGACCAAAACCCATCGGCGAGCTTCAGGGCGTAGAACGAGAAAAAATCAAATCACCCAAATTTCTTTGAAAACTTGCTCATAGAGCTTATCTGACCTGCTGATTACGAAAAGCACATCTGCTTAGCAAGAGAGCTTCACATTTTAGAGTTACGTTGAGAAAAATTTAGAACGACATGATTTTTCCAGAATTCACCAGCTCTTCTATCTTTTTCGAAAGAAATTCTCCAGTTCGTTTTTAGCGCTCGGTAATCTGCGGGAGCAGCACAATCCAATGCTTATTGGAGTCTTTTATTAGGTTGTCCGGAAATTAATGCCCGTTTTAATTTTCAAC